GCTGCCCAGAGAGGTTGTGGAGTCTCCCTCCCTGGAGACATTCAAAACCTGCCAGGATGCAACCCTGTGTAATGTGCTCTAGGCGATCCTGCTTTAGCCAGGGAGTTGGACTAGATGATCTATGGAGGTCCGTTCTAACTGATCATGCTGTGGTTCTGTGATCCAGTCAGGTGTGGGGGCCTGAGTCTATGGGAGTTGGAGACACCCAGCCAAAGGGATGCCACTAAGGCTGGGGACAGTGTGAATTTCAGGCCTCCAGCAGTGGGAGACTGGTGTCCTTTCAGGAGCTGGAGGCTATGGGAGACCAGGAGAAGGGGGTTGAGTGAGGTCCTGGCAGAGGCTGGGAGGCTTGAGCATGTTACGGGGCCAGGGGCCTCCATTGAGATAGGATCACCCTGCCTGGAGTTGATGCAGTCAAGGTATGGAAGGCATAATGGAGGGTTGGGTTCTCGGGAAGGTTGGGGAGCAGAAGAGCAGTGGCCCACTTGGCCTGAGGAAGGAAAGAGCAATGGAGGTGCCTGGTGAGGATGGAGGACAGTGTTCAGGGATTGACAGTGGAGAGCCTGGGAGCATGTGCGACTATGAAGGGACACTGGATAATGTAGCCAAGGTGAGAAGGGGCCGTCCCTAGGCTTGAATCCTGGCTCTAGGAGTTGAGGGAGCTATGGCAAAGCTTGCTGAGGTAGAAGGGCTGGTTGTTGATAAACAGCCTTGGAACGGGACTTCAGTCATGGCAGAGAAAGCCTGGACGAAGGGGTTGGGTGTTCAGGGATGGACAGGACTGAGGTGTGCTGCTCAGAGACTGAAAGAAACCTGCCAGTTGGGTGGGCTAGACAGTCTGGTGAGTCACTGGGAAAGCTCAGTCAACATTGGCTCACTAGGGTAGTTTGTTGCAATGTTGTGTGTTCTGGGGGTTTATGCTGGGGCTGGGGAGATGAGGGACAGCCTGAGCTGGAAAAAAGAGAAAAGAATACACTGTGTGAAGAGAATACACTGTGTGACCTCCACTGGAAGTGGATTTTTGATGCTGATAAGAGAACAGGGCCAGGGAGGAAAGAAGTGTTCAAAGGGAGAAATTAATTGTTTGACAGGGAGCAGTGTGGACTGAAGAGAGGAATTGGGCTCTTGGGTGCTGCAAAAGACCTGGTTAGGAATAAAGGGCAATGCCGGGAGGGTGGCAGGGTGGTGAAGGCGTAGCGTAGGGTTGGGATAAAGTTGGATGATGGACTGAGGTGCTGGAAGAAACTTGAGTTTAGGTGCCAGAGTAGTTGGGGTGGGACAAGTGGGATGCTGGTGGAGTCCAGCAAGGACTGGAGGGAAAGGTTTGGGGCTGCTGGCTGAGGGGTCGTAAGAGAGCTGCGGTTGGTCAGGGAGCTGCTGCTGAGGATGCCCTGCATGCAGAGAGAACAGGCAGAAAGAAATAGCAATAGGGAAAAAGCTTTCCCAAGGGCAAAGCCGTGTTTTGATCAGGAGTCCTCTGGACACGAGCTGGATTCATGCGGGAGGAAACATAAGCAAGAGCAGCTCCTCATCCTCAGTGGGTTAATTCTGGCTGCATCCCCACCTGCTGGGCCACAGAGAAAGAGATTGAGATAAGGCCTGTGGGATCTGCTCTATTTTAGATCAGTTGATGATGGAGCATGTCACACCAGACACTGAAGCCATCACAGGATGGACATGTGCTGTAAAGATGAGGGCAGCTGCCTCCAGCAGTGCAGTGCTTTGTGGGACACATTTGGCCTGCAGCTGCTGCTGGCCAAATCTGCTCTTCTGTCTTGTGATGTCCCGATAAGCTGGTGTAGTCTGGGATCTGGCTGCTGTTATCCAAGCGTTTTGTGTGTGGAGAGGGCGAACTGGGTGTTTTCCAGTGTTCATGTTATTTGATACAACATTTTACTGCCTCTTTGTCTATTTGCCATTTCTGGGAGTTGTTTTTTGAATTGTAGCCTCTCAGGCAGGGTGGGTGAAGCTTTGGGGTGCCTGGTGGACTGGCTGTGCTGGGCAGAGGACTGCAGAGCACTGCCCTGTCTCTCTAGGTTCTCAACTTTCACTAAAACACAGTAAAGTCCTTAGCAGCAGAAACCCTGAAACACCAGGAAATATATCTAAAGCAGCTATGGCAGCCTGGGGGTGTGGGTCAGTAGTCAGAAATGATCCAGAGAGCTTGATGTAACAATTTACTGCTTGTCATCTGAGCCGTGGTAGCTGCCTGTGAGCATGTTTCTGGCATGTCATGATTGCATTGGAAAATGCTTAAACCCCGTTCAAGGACTGCTTGCTTCAACTCCAATGATAAGAGGGTTAATGCTGAGATTTAAATTATTTCAGTGATCGCCCAAGTGAGTAAGTACAGAAGGGAAGTGTCTCCTTCTGCAGAGCATATCAGCATTTCTCACGAATGTGGAGCAGGGGGCTGGAAGGTCATGGGTGGAGCACGGAGGGAAAGATGAGCCATAAAACTCCGTAGCATGAGGGATGTGTTGCGCTGGAGTCACTGGCGCTGTTAAGCACATCTGTGGTGGGCGCACCACAAGGGCGAAGGGAGGCTGCAACGTGAAAGGTTATGCTGCTTTCCAAAGTTTGGGAAATGCTGTGTGAGGCAGAGCTTGTGGGCTTCCTTGTGACTGTAATAACAATCTTTACGGAGTGAGATGGTGCATTATTGATAGGTGGTGGGGCCAGAGGATGGCCAGTGTTTTTCTGAAACTGTTGACTGAAGATGACATCATCGTGTCAAAACCAGGGTTGTCAAAGCGTGGTCCCGTTTTACAGTTGGAAACTGAGGAAACTGAGTCACAGAGTATCTAGCTGACACTGGGCAGATCTGGTGGAGAGGATGAAATACCAACACAGCTGAATGTGATGCATCTTTCTCCTGGTTTTGGGCTCATGTTTCTAGCAAACCCAGTGTCTATCTATAGTCTGCTTGTAGGTTTACCTAGTACCTAGAATTTCTTTCTGTTGTCCCTCATTGTTTGGCAGTAAGGTGCTATTTACAATGGCCCCATTTAAAAAAAAAACACAACCTTTTGAGAGCTCTAATAGTACCTCGCTGCTTTAGTTGTCCAGTACAGTTTGATGTCATGGTTTTGGTGTATTTTACCGATTGCTGAGATGTTGATATGAGAAACTACTTGCCCGTAGGACAGCAAGTAGTTTCATACCAGCAACTTGCCAAGACTTTAAAGTTCTGAAACCACACAAAGACTGCTGACGTTGCCCAGTGCTGGGCATCATCAGCTCTTCTGTGCACATCAGCTCTTCTCTTGCTAAAACCAGAGGAGTTTTATTTTAATTGCAAAAAGGAGGATTCATGCTGGTATTGGTTAATATACCAAACAAGAAAGTGCTGTGTGACCTCTTTGACAGAAAACTATGTTAGTAGGTTTGAACAAGGTAAAACTCTGTAGGTGACCCGACTCCATTAAATTTTGAATTTCAATACAGGAAAGAAAGTCTGCATTGAATGACACCATATGGTGGAGACATGCAGCAAAGCAAATGATTTTTTGGGAGTTTTGCCAGAGTAAGAAGTATTGAATAAACTGTGCTCAATAGATTAATTTACTTCGGTTGTATTTTGAAAAAGACTGGGTGATTTTATGACCATTAGTGACATTTGCAGTTCTGCAACCGAAGATAAAGGTAATCAAACGTCATTCTTCAGGGCAGCAGCTAATCAGTGCAGTTGTCAGGAAGGACTCCCCTCCTCCAGCTCTGCGTGTGCAGGATTGCACCCTGGATGACAAATGTGGCCTCAAATACCCACTGATGAAGGCAGGATATTTGGCTCAACTAAGCCCCTCGTCCCTCCCATGGCAGCTTCTCCCACATGACTTTCTGAAACCATCACATGCACCCTCTATCTTTAACTTCCTCTTCAGAAATGGTGAACTGCTACCAAACTGCTTAATTAAAGTAAATTGAGGGGCAGAGCTGCACTAGGTGCTGTGCGGGCAGAACACAGAGATGGCCCCTGTGCCGTGGAAATACGGTCGGTCTGAGGTGAGAGATAACCAAGTGATATGAGTAAGGAGAATCCAAGACAGGTTTGAACTTGGCATGTTCACCACCTAAACCTCATCAAGGATGGTAGGTGTGGCAGAGAAGGAATTAGCGGGAGAACCACAGGGTTTTATGGATGTTTTGTGAAGTTTCTCCCACGGTTGTTAGGAAAGGCACAAAGGTTTGAGAATGGAGCTCGGCAGGGATGAGCTGCGGGGAGATACGAGCTGTCACCTCCAAGGCAGACACGTGTGGCTGGGAAGGGCCTTAAGGGTGAAGGCAAGTGACTCACGGTTACAGCAGTGGCAAGAAGGTGTCTGTGCAGGGGTGCAGAGATGGGGGAAATGCGGTCGCAGCGGTGGGCTGCAGTGCTGAGTTTTGTGGCTGTATTGCATCTCGGTGAATTGATTTGATTCTAGCTAAATATCCACATCTAGTGGATAAGCGATTGCTGGTGTCTGAGGGTGGTTTTACTTTAAATTCATTATCTAAGCTTTGTGGCTAATAAAGCTAAACAGAATACATTTACTTCTCTTTCCTAATAGGAAGCAACTGTTCTCTGCAGTGGCTTGTGGACCGTGCTTTATCCTTGCCCTGTGTATCCAGCCCTTAGTACAAGGGGAAATTGTTTTTTCCATTATGGCTTTATACTGCCAATCTGATACAATATTTAAACAGATTATCTCAATGCTCTGTTTGTCCCAAACCAATTTTTGCTTTGGCCTATAAAGTGAATCTTCCTTTCGGCGGCTTCTGTGGTACAGGATGTAGTTACATGCATCAACTAGTTCAAAAGACCCATATAGAGCATGGATTTAAAGCTGAATAAACCCACAAAACCCTTAGCTAGGACTATAAATGTCACTGTATTTTTATATATGTCTGTATTATTTTTTTAAGAGAATAGGATTACTGCATACAGCTATAACTGAAAGTCCTTTGATAATTCGGTGGGTATTTTAAACCTAGCAATGATATACTTTCATAAAACCACACATCCCTGTTTTCTGAAGGATGCTGAGAAGATGGTTGACTTTGCTTTCATGCTCAATGTGTTTATGAGTGCTCTTGCTCATTTATTTGCATCTCTGAATTTAATGCCCCACTCTGATTTCACGGTAATTGTTAGAGGTCTTTTTTTTTTTTTTGTATATCCCCACTCACTGTCTGGAAAATGCAGTCTCCTCCTTGCTGACCCCATCAGTCTGTCTCCACATGGTGCTTGTAAAGAAAACCCTCTCCACCAAGGACAAAGATGTTTTTTAACCAAGCCAATCTGATATAAAACATAGTTTGCTTAACCCAGAGGCGACCAAGGAGCGGGTGTTGGCTGACTGTGCTCAGCCTTGAGTTGCTCCATGTGGCTGCCCTTCTCCAAAGGCTGCACGTGCTGCCACGCTGTGCTGTTCGTTATCTGAACAGCATCTGCAGTTCCCTTCTCTCTTACAGATGCCGCAGTCTGCTTAGTTTTGTGCAAATGACACACTGCCCTTATACTCCCGTGAGTCGTCTCTGCAGCTCCTCAGCCAGCTAACGTCTCTGCTATCTCACACGAGGCACATCGCGCTCCCCGCCCTGGACACCCCAGTGAGCCAGTGCCGCTGGCCTGGCTGCCATGCTGGCATTCGGGGCATCCTCCCTCCTTGCTGTAGGTTAAGTCACAGCATCAAGACATTTGTTTGCTGGCCTGTTGCTTCTGCGTATCCTCTTTGCACCAAATCTTTCCGTTTCATGCCTCTGTATCTTACACCTCCAATCAATGCTTTCTGACTCTCATCAGCCCAAGTTAGTGTTGTGTTCGCAAGCAGGGAAGTGCTGGTCCATCACTGTGTGTGCAGTAAGGGCTACTTGTCCCACATAGTGATGGCATGCAGCAGGGAGCTTGGCTGAGTTATTTTTTCCAGTCTACTAAGCTGTCAGGAAATGCTTTCTGTCTTCCTAGCCAGTGTACTCATAAGGCCAATTTAAGAAAAAGTAAAAAAGTGTTAGACCCTCATCTGTGCATGGCTTTTCTTAATCTTAAATCTTCCATAAGTAGAGGGACAATGCTGGGTGCAAGTTTAAAATAATATTTACAAAATAGTAACCAATACTATTATTTGGCTCTTGATTTAACTTCTGTATACAGACTGTGTAACCTGTGCTAGCAGCTACTGAAATAAAGTCCACTTCTCTATGTTGGCTTGCTTGTCTTCTAGCCTTTTAAATCAGCTTACTTTATACCTTAGAGAATACTTTTATTTCTATATATATCCTCTCTTCTATTGGCTACCCCAGATAATCCTGTGATCAGCCATGCAGCAGTGTCACTTGAGTAGAATATGGAACGATGCTGATCGTTTTCTCATAGGCTGTCATACTAGCCCAGAAATAGCATCCATCTACAATGGGAGAAGCTCTATTAACATTTACAACTATTCCTCTTCCCAACCCCTGAGAATTGCTCCGTGGTAGATAAGCAACGCTTTGTAATACACTTCTTTGCACTCAGTATTTTGGAGTTGAATTCTGAAATGTAAAGGCTCCTAATCCTGATCTGCTTTGGGATGCACAGCTCTGCTCTTAGCAAGTGGTGCTGTGAATAGGATTAGCATTTCAACAGCTGCTTTTTTTAACTGTGAGCAATAAACTAAAATAATAGGGCCTGATTCAGAGCTCTGTGAAGTCGGCAGTAGTACTTTGGCTAGTGTGTGTTGGCTTCGGGTCAGGCCCATAAGAATGGGAAATTCAGCGTTTCCTTGGAAAGGAGGGAAATGTGTGAATTTTAGAGTTCCTGCTCCTGTGGGGTCTGTCCTCACCGAGCTGAAATCCATGGATTTACAAGCCAAAAAACACAGCCGTAAATTTGACGGCAGGTGAAAAGAAAATGTGTTGCTAGTCATGCAGTTAAAACTTGTGGTTTTTAATGATGTCAAGGGCATTTAGGACAGGCATGTAAACAAGTAAACATTAGAGGTATTTCTGTCACTGTTCCTTCTCTCCTCCCTCAGACATGTGGAAGTACAGATCATCATTGGGGCAGAATGCGGGTCAGGCACCACGGCTGGGGAGATGAGCTTTTGGGTTGGGAGGGCTTGCAGGGACTGGCTGCACTGAACACAGCCCTTCAAATTCCTTAGCTACAGGCCCATGGGCGAGAGCCAGCTGTGAGCGTCTGGCCCTCGGGGCTCAGCATGTGATGTTACAGGCCTGTACGCTTGCACTAAAAGCGGTTTGGGGATTTACTGTGCCTGTACTGGGCAGGCACCCTCTACCAAGCAGAGCCCATTCCTGATTAACAGCTCTTGAGGGGGGCCTGGATTCACATTTTTTTTAACCAGCCTGTTCATGAAATAGGTGATACCCTGAGCCTGGTTTTATCAGGGTCTAAGACTGCAGTTTTGCTGTTCCTTGCACAGGCACTGAATTTCTGAACCTCAGCTTTCCACAGTGTTTTTTAAAAGCTCAGCAACAGTGGCAACCCTGCGATTTTCTACAGGTATACTTCAAACCCAGATTTAATAATTTCCTTCTCCCTTTCTTAGAATCATAGAATCATCGTGCATGTATTTTGAGCCGTGTCTGGTATTTAAATGGAAAACCAGTAAGTTACTTGCAAATCAAAAATGTGTAGGGGGTGGATTGACTCTGGCATGCATTTGAACCTCAGTGTGTTTTCATCCTGTGTTATTGAAAGCTCTGGCACTGTGACGTGTAGCGCCATGTCCTTTCCAAAATGCTCCCTACCTGGAGTGGTGTATTGAGTGGCTGAAGGCAGTGGTTTCCAGATGGCTGAGCGGGATCTGTACAGGATTTGGCAGAAGGGTGCTGCTACAGATGGAGGGCACGTTGCAGCGGTGACACTTGCACCACATCTCGCAGCTCTTTATCTTGAGGACAGGTTTCAGATTGCTGTGATGCGGAGGGGATCAGGAGCAACCTTCACAGCGCAAGTAGTCCTTGGCTCCCAGCAAGTAGTTCCTCACAGCAACAAAGCACTTCATAACATTTAACTGATTCACCCTTGTAGGTCGACAAGAAGCATTGTCTCTAATTTTGCAAATGGGAGAACAAAAAAGCTTGAGAGATGGGCCCCTGTGGGCCCAGGTTGGTGCAGATACTTGAACTATGTTCACGGCTCAGGGTCTTAGTGACCTTCAACATGGGAATTATCTGGGAGAGACCGAGCAGGAGTCCTGAGAGCTCCAGAAAGGGCTCTAGGTGTATTCCTCTCCCAGATTTGCTGAGACAAATTATTTGCAAGAGCATCTGTGTCCTCAGGCTGGGCGTCATGGTGTGCACTGCTCAGGCTTCAACAAGTGGTCCCTGCCAAGCAGGGAGGTGCATGGGCTCACAGCCTGCTCCTGTGTCTTCAGTTGCAATTGCCCCTCTCCTGTGGGCTGGGCAGCAAGAGGCAGGTAGAATTGGGGTGATTTGCATCTCTTGGTTACGTGCCAGCATCCAGAATATTTTTCCAGCTGTTACAGAGAAGTGTGGGTCTCTGAGTGGTGGCCCTGACAAAAGCTTGGGTGTGCTACTGTAATGTGCACAGCTGTAAATGAGCTGACCTGCATATTCTGTTTCCTAATCCTGAGTGATACTGTCAGCTCAGAGAGCTGAGCCTGGCTAATGACTGAAATCCACTGTGCTTTTCTTAGCAAGCATGTGTGGTGATCTGAGATAGTTGTTAAGTGCTACATCCTGAGAATCAGAACTGCACGTGCCCCATGGGTCCAGCATGTTTTAGACAGATAAACGGGGTTTGAGATGATCAGGGAGTTACTATGAAAAGAACTGATGTCAGGTACATAGTAACCTGCAGTTAACTAGGAGGGAGATTAAATTAATGGGGGTTTCCCTCTGATAAAGATAATGAGGAGCTCGCAAGGACTTGGTTTGCAGCTCCTACACGATATGTGTAGGCACTGTCTTTCTGGCACAGGGAATGCCAAACAGCTGCGTGACAAGAGCAGTGCAGCCAGTGGTGCACCCCACTGAGTTACATTTGTGCTGTCTGAGACCTTGTCGATACTCTCTGAGATGAAGGAGTTGAAGGGAGGAGTAGAAGAGGAAATGGGGACTGCAGGAAGGGGTTCAAGGTGCCCTGGGATCCTCATTTCAGGGAGGAGGGCATGGCATGGTGGGAGGAAAGACTCAGAGGGAAATAACAGCTATCATCTCTCCTGTGGATTTAGGGTTTACTGTCAATCCTGCGTAAACTGAAAAGCACCCCAGACCAGGAGGTGAGAATCCTCCTCTTGGGACTGGATAATGCAGGCAAGACTACACTCCTGAAGCAGCTGGCATCTGAGGACATCAGCCACATCACACCAACACAGGTGAGGAAGGCCTCTCGCTGCCCAAGGCACTTCTTGTGGTCCCACCTGCCTTATTGTACAAAGAACTAATGATTCAGCAGAATATTTCAGTGAAAGGATGAGCAACTGGAGCCTGGTCCACCAGTAAGTTTGTGTATTTTCTTCATAAGAGGAGGCTCCCTAAAGGAGCCTAAGAGCATCAGGCCAGATCTGTCACGTAACGCAGAAGTGGATGAGCGCCATGGAATTCTGCAGAAAACTGTTGGGTCATGCTAGGGTTGCACGGATGAGACTTTGTTCCTGTTGTCCTTGCCAAACAGGGTACATGGACAAGGGATGCTGCAGCACTGGGCAAGCCCCTGTCTCCTTGCATCCTTCACTCAGCCAGCTCCAAGGATCCTGCATGTTCCAACTCTTTCTCTCTGATGCCTCAGGTCCCCTTTCTTTGAGCCTCGAGGTTGGGGAAAGGGATGTCTCCCATCAGAAGCACTGCAGCATCACTCCTGTGTTGACCAGAGGAGGTTGCTAGAGAGCTATAGGAGCAGCTTCCCCCCACCCTGGAGCTGCCTCCCGAAGCTCCCAGCCCCAACACCCCGATTCCAAGCCCCCGTCCCCTGGATGGTGTGGCAACGTTGCCAGTCCACACCACATCCTGTTTTTCTACTTGAATGCCCTTTCAATTGGTGCTCTAATTGATGAAATGGACTCTTCAGACGTGCAGCTGTTGCTCTTTTAAGCCTGGCATTAGCTGTGTCGTGTCGAATTGAGCCGAGACCTCTGGCTTCGCGTTAGCTGGGACTCTCTACTCGGCTTTCACAAGCTCAGCCCTGCTTCTCACAGCACCGTTGTTTTCTCCTTATCTGCAGCTCTCCCACCTCTTCCTGCACCCACCCTGCTGAGTCCTTGCAGGGCAGTAACGGCATCATACGTCTTTGTAGCCATGACAGCGTCAACCCTTGACCCAAGAACACCAGCAAACTGATAGTTTGGCAGCTGTGTTCACTTTTGCCAGTGCCTCTTCCCCAGCCGATCCATCTTAGTGGCTGCCCAGCCCATCTCGCTGCATGTTGCAGACACAGGATATATAAGGTGTTAGTGTCTGCTTATGTACATTATCCAGCCATTCAGGTCTATGCTCCATATGACTTTGTTCCTGCTCTTTCCAGGGCTTTAACATCAAAAGCGTGCAGTCTCAAGGCTTCAAGCTGAACGTATGGGACATAGGCGGACAGAGGAAGATCAGGCCATACTGGAGGAACTATTTTGAAAACACTGATATCCTTGTGAGTATTGGCTGCAGTTGAATACTATGTTCATGCAATGGCTTTCCAAGGTCTCAGACAGAAATTCAGGAAAAATACTGTAATGTCCCAGTCCTCAGCAACACCACTGCCATTGTAGCAGTTATTCCGAGTGAAATGGCAAGATTGGTTGGGTGCAGTAAGAAAAATACAGTGATGTTTAGAGAAATCATTCAGTTTACTTTCACAGGATGGTGCTGGTTACAACCAGTTCCTTTCCTCTCATTTCCTTCAAATGAAAGAACATTGATAACTTGTATCTTTCCCATCTATAGCTCCTTTCACTGGGGACTCTGGAGGCCTGTCACAGAGATTAGTAACTTAAGCCTCATGTAGAAGTAGGTCAGTGCGGTATCATTTTTTTATCATTGGGGAAACTGAGGAACACCAGAATTAAACACAATGCCTGGCATCAAGTAGGAAAGCTCCTGGCTGAGGGACAAAGACAGACCCCTTGTCTTTTCCCTTGGTCCTTTAATCATAAGACTGCCCTTTAATGTTTGTGACATCTTACCTGCAGTTACCTTACAATTAGCGACAGATGACTACAGTTATATTTACAACACAGGACCTTTTTGTTTCCATGCCAGAGCACCTTACTCTGGGACCCTCCAAGTGCTGCCCCAGCTAGTTTCAAAGGGTACCTCTAACATGCAGCCACCTGTGCCAGGATGAAGGCAGGCTGGGGGCTCCAGGCCTCTCCCCACCCCAAGCAATATTGCCTGTGGGAGCAAAGAAGAAGCAAGGCCTGCAGGCCTTACATAGGAAAGTGGGAAGCTCTCTGAGAAAGATGCCCTTCATCCCTCCTGTCACACACACATGCTCACTAACATGTCAGGAGCTTCAGTGCACTTCCACAGAAGGATCAGAGCAACTAGGAATAGGACTCGCTGCTCCAAGGCTCTCATCAGGGTCCTGAAGGGCCTGGCTGTGCCTGCAGATTTAGAATGCATTGTGCAAATTAAGCTGTTACTTAAATGAGACTAATAAATCTTCAGTAATGTCTTGTGTACATCACCCTTTTTCAGCCTTAATTTGAAACCTGATGTTTGAGGGCTGCTGCCACCGCATGAACACAGTTGGTTGCTTTTTGCAAAAAGGTGCGATCTTCCTAGGGGAAAGATTGGGATTTGAGAAACTAACAGGATACACTTCGCATGCTCCTCTGTGGCCATCAAGAAGGGAGACACGGCATGGCTGGGAAGTGGCTGTCCCAATGAGTCCAAGCTCTGCAGCTGTATGTGGTGAGGAGGCAGTAGGTGTGCAAATGAAAGTCAATACTGCAAAGCAGCGTGAAGGGATCTCTGCCGGCTGTGGCAGGTGCTCAGGCTGCAGAGACTGCACAACCTAAAACAATTATCTGGAAGACTCTGCTGGCAGAGGCGGTGAGTTACCCCAGCCTGTGGCTGCAGAAATAAAGAGGAATTTGAAGACTGAAGGAGATTAAAGCAGTTGTTTTCCGTGCCCTCCTCCCACCCCAGCTAAAGCAGTGCACAGAGAAAACTCTTCTTCTCATACAAGTCAGAAAGCAGTAGATAGAATCAGTTTAGTGGAAGCAGCAGTGTGAATTCAGAGGGCCCTGAGTTTCCCTGCCTGCACTCCATGCTGACACCCACTCCCAAACTGGGAGCTGTTGGCCTGTTAGTGCAACGTTTTACTGTGTCCATACACACCAAAACTGGGATCAAGTATATGCAGATGACTGTCTTCTGCCAACCCTCACCCTGTTTTAGCCAATTTAACCCTCTGACAAACCTGGTTTAGGTTGTGAATCTGCAAATTGAGCCAATTTATCCCTCATATTATTTCTTCAGTCAAGTCCCACCACTTGCAGTTTCTACCCAGCCCACTTACTCTAGGTTTTGTTTTGGCATGTTGCTCAAAGGAGGCACCCAGCTTTATGGGATTCCCCCCCACCTCCCCTCCAAGCTCAGTTTCTCCAACATGGTGTACTTGACAGCTGTTCGAACTGTTTAACTGCGCTACCAAGCGCCACAGCCAGAAACAGGCTCTTATATGGTCCTGGCCATCAAAGGAAGGTGGAGATGAGATACACTACAGTTCCCAGGACTCCCTGCTTCTATATGCTCCTAAACTACATTGCACAAAGCAGAAAGGACCCTGTAAAGAGTATTAAAAAGCAGGAAGTGATTGCAAATTCAAATCCATGCAGGTGCCTTTGAATGAGAGCTTGGTCTTGCATCACACACCTGTGATATTTGGAAGCTTAACCCAGGCAAATAAGGTGTGGATATCTGGCTGATTGCGTATTCAGACAGGCACCTGCAGCTATTTGGCACAGTGCTCTCTGGTTTGGAAGCAGGCACTCCGCACATACTTTACCCTATCTGCGCTGTGCTTTTGTGGCTTTTGCCCCGAGCGCTGTTGTCTCCAATTCTCGTCTTGCAAAATAGCTCCCTAGCGAGCAACCAAGTGGTGCAGGAGAAAGCCTGGCTGGTTGGGACTCAAAGCAATTCCCTGACAATTAGAGAAGCACCGTAATATGGGAGGGGCCGCCTTTCAGTTGAAAAGTAGCACTTCACTATTGCGTTTGTATGTTGCTAAGCTTCCCCGAGATACCCTGAAGGAGGACAGCTGACAGTCCAGTTTCACCCCAGAGCACAACTGCCAGCCCTGCAGCTCCTTCCTTTCTTTCAGTCCGTGTTTCCTACCCCAAAGGGGACTCGCAGGGGCGCGGATGCTTGGGAGGGGCAGAGAGAAATGGGTGTAGCTGATGCAGCGTTGGTGCATGTGCTTGGGATCAGATCGTGGGGAGAGGCTGTGTGTCACACCATGCCCACGGGCCTTGCCTCATCACATGGCACCAAGGGCACACACTGCTGACGCATCCCCACGCAGCTGCATCCAGCCCTGCTGCCTGCCCCCCCAGCCTCTGTCAGCCTGTGTCAACCCAGCCCTGGGAGAACCACAGACCCCAAGTGATCAGCAGAGAGGTCTGTGAGGTCACTGGGTTACCTCCTCAGGCCTGGCATACAGATACTGCTGCTGCATGTTTGGTCCCAGCTCAAGCAACCCCTAACACTGCTCATTGAGGGAGTGCCTACTATTTCATAAATACTGCTGCCAGAGAACTTCCTCCCCCTACAATTTGGTCAAAATTCTCCTGGAAGCATGGAATCTTGTGCTGAGACTGCCTGCAAGGATGCCATTTATCTTGATGGCGGGGTGCTGTGCTCATCTATTCCCTGAAAACCAGGCTGACACTTGCTCCCTGTAAGCCAACAAAGAGCATGCAGATGACATGCTAGCAGCTTCAATTACTGCTGATGGGGAATGGCAGGGACTGGAAGCAAAATGCTCAGTGTTTGTCACCAGTCCTGTCCCTATCTGCTGTCCCAGCGCCCTTCTCCTTCAAAAACCTTCCTGTACCAAGTAATGGAAGAGGGATGCTGAGCTATTCCCGCCTGACTGTTACACTGAGGTTCCCCATTTCTTGATACCTGTGCACTCTGAACTGCAGTAGCATTGCTAGGGAGAGGAGGGTGACTGGAATTACTAACTGTGTATTTAGGAGGACCTTCAAGGAACCTTTTAGCCTGTGCAGACCTAGAGCTGCCTTTGCTAAGAAGGCTCATTTGCATGGAAATAAGCATGTGCCATGCTGCTTGGAGTGTGTGGAGACCCCCTCCCAAGGCAGGCAGCCTGTGAGATGGGGCATCCACCCTTCTCCATACCAGAGGACAGGTGTCTGGTTGAGACCTCCTCATGGGCCGTGAGACTTGGTGTCCGGACCCGAGAGGGTGGTAGGTCTCTGCCTTCAGTCTTTGTGAGCCAGCTGCTCCCTATCTTCATCATCCTGGTGGATAAGCTGGCAGCTGAAGTCTCACAGGCTGGATGCAGCCTTCTTCAACCACCTGCTTCAGGAAGTTGCAGTAGGACAACCTAATGGAGAGGAATTCAGTGTCCCCCATACATTCATCTGTCCCCTGAGTGCCACTGTGTGCCTTGATGGCCTACTGAGGCAGTGATGAGTCCTGCTAGAGGACAGCACGGCATAGTCACACCAATGCAGGGCTTGTACATTGTTTGCCAGCGAAAAAACACATCTGGCTCTTCAGGTTTTGCCCTCTTGCGCTCAGCTTCAGCTTGTAAGCCGATCATTTGAAAAGATACTGGACAGTCTTCTGTTCTCAGATAACAGATTCTGTGGAGATGGTGAAAGCATCCCTAGTACTGCCCCCAGCTCCTTTCTAATCCTACCCACATGGCCATCCACCCTTGAAGCTTTAAGAGAGGTGGTTCCTCTCCTTTCTGAACATCATGAAGTTTTGTCAACATTTGCTATAAATAATACCAGGGATCTTTGTGCCCAAAAGCAAAATTATTAGGCTTAGCTCACTTAAGCATGTGGTACTGTGGAAGAGTGTCTTCTGGAAAGAGTAACTTTTCCTCTCGTTTGGTTTTCAGATCTATGTCATTGACAGTGCAGATAGGAAGAGGTTTGAAGAAACAGGTCAGGTAAGTTACTTGTGCCCAGCTTCCTTTGAAGTATCTCGGTGCTTCTGAGTGCCCCTTGCTCACAAAAGTTAGGAAGATGATTTTGTTGTTTATGAGGGAAATTTGCATTTCAAGAGAGACTTGCGTTTCAACATCAATGCAGATTATTTTGGTAGATGTGAAACAAGGAAAATAGGTAGCCTAATTCCATTTAAATAGAACGGTTTTCATTAAAGTTATACAATAATAGCAAACGGAGCCCAATACTGAAAGCAAAAACTTCTCTAAGTCCTTTAAACCTTGCCAAACCAAGACCCGGAGGAATCCTATTTTCTTATTTATAAAGTTGAAATGGAAATCATATTGACTTGATTGTCTTTTGGATGTAATTTAAAAAAAAACAACAACACACCAAAAACAAAACACACTAAAAACTTTGTAACTAGGACTGGCCAGAAAGTAACGTTTCCGTGTTGCAAAGTTTTCATGTTTTGTAACATTCTGTGTTTTAGGATGGAACAAAAAATAGGATTTTTGAACTTTCTTTTTAAAATTCAGAATGTGACAGTGTCCCAAAATAGTTAGCAACAGATCTACCCTCTAGAAATGGGAGATTTAGTTTAAAGCCCTCTGTTCAGTCTGATTTGAAGGAGGTGCTTGTTCTTTCACCTCTCAAATATCATGGACACACCCTAACAGCAGAACTGTTGGTTGTTCTAGGGGTGGGGGGAAATCTTTCCCCTGTTGGAACTATTTCATTTTATATCAATAATTAGATACTCATTGGGCAAAAGAGTGGGAGAGGAAGCAGAAGCTGAGAGCACTTGCCTGAGTCAGGCAGAGTCAGCCTGGATCCCTCATATTTCCACAAACGCTTTTGGTTTCAATAAATCAGCCGTGTCAGATGAAAGACCTATTTTGTTGAAAAATTCCCAGCCAACTCTGTTTATAACTCCATTCCCTCATCCTGGTTTCCAAACCAAACATTGCTTTTGGGGGGATGGAGTCAGATTTCCGCTGCAGTTTAGCATCTCCCCGATGGCACTCATTTAATGCAAAAGTTTCTAGCCAGTGGATCAAAGATGTCAGGACAGTATCTGAGAACACAGGACCCTTCCAGCTAAACAAGGAGCCCACAAGAATCTCGTGTACTCATCTATCTGCAAGGTGAGCAGTCCTTACAGGGTCAAGTTCTGCTGGATTTGTCATATGCTCACATAGGGAAGTGACACTCTCCTTGTTTCACAAGGCCATTGCACGACCCTAGACACAAAGTATTTCAGCCACCATTGATCCACTGCAGGTTCAGATTTGAGCTATTAGAAGTATCTCTTTGAGTCACCCAGTTTTGAATAAACAAACTCATTTCTCAAGATGCCACCCAATGTGTGCTGTGCATGTGGAGCCCAAATCCACCTAGTAAAGTTAATGTAGCTTGTCTTCAGCTAGCCAATGCTTTCAAAAGCATCAGCACTTTCTTGTGGGAGGGGTATTTTCCACTTCAGTGGGGAGAGAAGTCCTCTCCCACACACGTTGCAGTGTATAAAACCTGGAACAAAGCCCTGAAACTCATTACTAGCAAAGACAGCAGGGCTGGTGTCAATGGCTGCTCAGGTACAAATGCCAATCAGGCAATAACTTAAAACAGATTCCTCATACTGCCAATTTACATGGTTTTTTGCTGTTTCATCAGTTTTGGTCTCCTGGGAGCAGGGACTGGTAAAACACAGTTGTAGCCTTTAAGGCGACTGCTAATTTCAGACCAAGATGAAGATTTTTGGAACCTGTAATTGGAAGAAATAGCTTTTGAACCTTGGGCAGAGATGATTGTATACATTTTTGCTCTCTTATAATAAGATCTAGGCTTCACTGGAACACACTCTGCCAACATTTGCCCTAAATATATTTCTAATTAGAGACAACCACTGGTGGTTGAAGGCTTTCTTCCCTTCCCTCTCTCCATCTTCCCCCCACCCCACTCCCTTGTAAATGATATAGGAGCTGGCTGAGCTTTTGGATGAAGAAAAGCTTAGTGGAGTCCCGGTGCTCATATTCGCTAACAAGCAGGATTTGCTGACGGCTGCCCCTGCTTCGGAGATTGCCGAGGGACTGAACCTACACACAATCCGGGACAGAATCTGGCAGATCCAGTCTTGTTCGGCTCTTTCAGGAGAGGGAGTACAGGTGAGGCTCTGGAGAAGGTTTGGTGTGCCAGCAGGCCATCTGTAAGAGATTGTTGTCTGTTGATCTGCAGGGTAGGGCTGGACCAGCTGCCTCATGAAGGAGGGTCGGCACAGCCAAACCCTTGTGGTGCAGCACACAGGGGGTGCATGTCTCATCGTCTGTGCAAAGGGAAGGGGGAGCTGTGGGCCCTTGGGATCTCTCCAGCCCCAGGAAAGGGGAGAGCGATCGCTTCCCCATCTGCGACCCCTTGGCTGGGCCAAATGAAGACACTGATTTATTTTAAAGAGACTACTGTTAGGTTAATCATTTTCACAAAATGAATCATCTTTTACTATTAACCCCTTTGACTGTTACAAGCGTGCACTTTAGAAATCTGATTTACCTTCGCTACTAATGTCATTTGGCGTATTGCTCAACCCAGGCGCCAGAGAGAAACTGATCAATTTTTCTGATCCAGAGAAACAGAGTACATGGGGCAGGGACCACTTCTAATGCCAGCCTGTGGGACAGTAAAAACCCACTGAGAGGGCTGAGCTGTGTTCCTGTGCTAAACTGAAATAGCTGTGTCTTGGGCTCCCGTGCTATAGCCAGTTCCTGCAGCATAGTAACTCTTTGTAATGTAAATGGGACCTAGGTTTGTTTATTTCACTCGTAGGCTTTCCTGAATTAATGAAATATTTGCAGTGCTCGAAGTCTGAGCAGTCAGGACTACTCCCTGCACTGGTATTTAAAGAAACAGAATTATGAAGACATTTTACTGAAACCGCAATGAAGATAAACCTTATTTGCAGATGCAGCAGAGCCCTTCAGGATAGTCAGATCTGGAGCTGAATATGGAGAGTCACAGAAGAAGCCCACAGTACTGAGTGGGCAGCAAAATGGCAGACGCAATTCAGTGTTGACAAGTGCAAAATAACACACAGGAGGAACAACAACCCTAACTATACACATACAATGATGGACTCAAAATTAACTGCCGTTACTCAGAAACAGATCATTGGGAACAGCCAGCTTAGTGCTTATCAAAGGCCAGAGAGCAAAATCAAATGCCAGAGAATTAGCAGAAAGCAAACAAGAAACATCCCAGAAAACATGTCTTGTAGCAGAATAAAGGCATGGTGGGCCCATACCTTGAATGGGACATTCATTTGTGCCCCTGCTCCATTTAAAAGATTTTAGCAGTAGTAGAATCATATAATTCACCACAAAATTAGGTTGAAGGGTGTCAAAGTTTAAGCCTGGGCCAACCACTAAACTCTGACAAATGGTCTCTGTGATCCCCCACCCCCCTCACAGGGGAGGATAACAGGGGAACCAGGGAGAGAGACTTGGAGGTTAAAAAAAACCTTAGACCAGTTTAATAAAAGGAAAAACAATGTTAACAATGAAGATGTCGGACTACATACAGACATATACAAGCATGCAAATATGCTCAGAGTTACAGGATAATATGTTAATACGGGACCCACACCTTCCAGATGTCAACAAGATCCCAAACAGCAAAACAAAAGGTCCCAGACTGGACTCAGCAGCTGCCAAGAGTGCCCAAGCCAGGTCCCAATGATAGCAAAAAAAAAATATAAAACAGCAAAGGAGCCATACCTTTCTCATCCAGGGCAGGGGAAGGTGACCTGTCCCAGCCATCGGTGCTCCGCTGCAGGGTGGAAGCAGGAGGCATGAACAGCAGCAGCCCAGGGAGAGATGAGGATGCTGAGGAGGAGCTGGAGCTGCCCTCCCACAGGCAGCACCCCAGGCCCCGGGGCTGCCCTGATATACGAGCAGGTGGGAAGGAACGCTGTGATGGGTCCATCTGGGACACCTGACCCACTCACCTGCCCACAGGCACAGCTGCCCCCCGTGCCCCAGTCCTGAGAGCTTCCATCCTGGGGCTCTCAAACCAGGACACTTCGTGGTTCTGGGATTCCCTCCCTTGACATCCAGGGAGGGGATGCGAGCCTGGATGGACCGTTGGCCTTACCCCGGACACCAGTTCTTCTGACTTAAAATGCGTAACCTGATGTTTAGACCTAAACACAGCAGCTGGTGTCCTCCAAAGGGCCTTTGTGTGGTTAGCTAAGGGACAAATGCAGCTGTGCTCCAGCCAGTCTTGCGAAAGGCGGCAACTCAAATCTTTGTTTGGAAGTTGTGGTGGTAGAGGGAAATGCAGTCCACAATGGCAGAGTACGTTCAAGTCCAAAGGAATGCAATCAAGAAAGCGAGGCTGTAATTGCCCCTGCAGCCGCAAAGGGGCAACGAAGTGGCAGATGAAGTTCAGGGGTGTGTGTTGGATGTGGAAGAACTTAGTGACAGAATGTGGCACTTTCCATTTGTGAGCTTTGAAAAATGCCTTCTTCTCAAGCAGATCTGTGGGCTCTCTGGGGTGGGCTGCAACACTTCTTCCTTGGTAGTGCCTTCTTACTGTGCCTTCTCCTCAAAGTACAGTGCATCCCTATACATTCAGTAGAGTAAGCAGCCAATACCCTCTACTGGGGCAATGAAATCTGCTTCTGCATTCACTTCCAGAAAACATGAGACAAGTAAAAGTATTTGCAGGCCTCATATTTTGTTCGTCATGCCTATCTAGACAAATTAATTTAAATGCAGGCCAGATAACATCCTGCTTTGTTGTCCACAGTCTCATTGCCCTAAATACTGCAGTGTATTCCATAAATTATTATTGCAGAAAGGTCGGGGAAGTCAAAAACTCTCTACTACTTATAGAAAAAGAGCTCCTATCTTTCTATTCTGCCGTAACTCCGGCCCTGTCAAATCAGGCAGCAAGAATGCCAACCTCTCCTCTTCCTTGGAAATTCATTGAGCAAAATGGTTTGGGAGAGATGACTTTTAAACTAAAGCTGGGTTAGCCCAGGAGGAAACATCACCTTCAGTCCTGGCACTTGAAAGAGAGATCAAAACGCTCAAAATTTAGAAGAATCAAAGAAGAATTTATTTAAAGAGTAAGAAAGATGTTTCTGAGGATCGTGGTACGCTGTCTCTACCAGTGGCTCTGAACAGGAGCACTCTAAGTGTAGTTAAATCTGAGGTCACTGCTTTAAGGACTTCTTTGAGAAATGACAATGAGTGACAACAAAATAAATGAAGATGTGGAAGCATCAAGTATTCAGAATGAAAACCAAGGAGTGAGGACGCTGTCGCTGCTGATGGAATATATATTAGCTAGAGTAAAATTGGAGACGTTGCTGGCAGATTTTGCAAAGAAGAGTGGTGGCATATCTAGTACTGAGTACACGTGAGAGCAGAGTTCCTAGGGGAAGATTTTTGTGGTAGCTTGAAGGGAGAGAAATGAGCAAAGATAAATAATGCCAATACATGAAGGAGAAATAGTTTGAAGGTCATTTAATTAGTTTAGCTGCTCGCACCATGGTGTATAGAATTGGGTAGTTAAGACTGGGGATTTCAAGGTTAATGAGATTAGATTATGGTTAATAGAATGATATAAATTTGGAGAATTTAACTATTATTTGAAATGGGTTATTTAATAAAACTGTTAATTAAGGAGGGAATCCATATTGTCATCTTCTTTTTTTAAAATTAACCGTTGGGAGACTCTGGAAACGGGGCCCAGCAATGTCCTGGGTAAACTCAGAAGAGAGGTGACTAGGTTAACTGGAAACCCCGCGTAGTGTCCTCTGGACACCGGCTGGTAGCCCCTGATAGGGCAGCTGAAGACTTCATTACATCCTGACTGTAACCGTGGGCAGCACTTGGGTTGTTAATCAGCCTTCCTGCTGCCCTTGAGGGAGGAGCAGCATCCCTCATGCTTAGACGCTTTTTCAAGCAAATTGTTTGCTTGAGTCTGATTTTGTCCTTCAGCCCTGGTTGGGAAAGCGGGGGAGCCTTTTCTCCCCGCCGCAGCCACTTGGGCTCTGCCTCTGGGGTAGGGTCCTGCCCTGGCTTACACCAAGACCCTTGCACAGGACACAGCAAGCGACGGACGTGATCACTAGTATCGGCAGAGAAACCAAAGGGCACCATTGCCTCATGATGGCTCTCTGGTGCCACACAGGCTTTCTTGGGTTTGTGTTTTGTGACCAGTTCTCCAGCTGTAGTACCTGCCGTTCAAAAACTATGTATGTTCCACGCTGGCCAGCTGGGTGGAGTGAAAGCAGGCAGGACTCCTCTGCTTTGCAGCCTGTCCACTTGCTGGAGGTGTTTTTTCGGGGCCAGGGTGAGTATTAACCACAGCTCAAGGCTTTGGACCTGTTGGTGCTCTACAGCTTGTTTATTATCTGAAGCAAAAGTCTGCGATCAAGGCAGCAGGAGCTCAGCCTGCCCCGAGGAATCAGCCTCCAGAGCGATGCTGCAGCATATTGTGTCCGGAGTCTCCCAAGTGTAATGGCCCCCTGGAGACCATTAAAAGCCAGTGGAACTGCAAGTAGCCACTAAACTTCCCTAATTTATGCCAGAGCTGGTCTGGCCTAAAGGACTGTGGGAAGGGCTGAGCCACTTTCTCTTCCCTGGCTATTTCAGCCCAGCTGAGAACAAAGCCCAGGACCTAAGTTTTGCTGATGCTGTGATTCAGCCCTTTCCTGAGGGCAGGATTCAGAACAGGACACCCTGGCAATGTTGTATCCTCAGAGCTAGGTCTCATCTTAAAGATGTCTTAGCCAGGCCAGGCTAGATGGGGATCTTCCACATCTTAACAAGGTTCTAGGCCTGCTTGTAAATGTGATGCAAACCCAATTTTGATGACTGCAGCTCTCCTGGGGTGGCCAGAGCCGCTGCTTATTGACAAAAAGCAACCGTGTTTCCAGATTACAAGGCAAAGTCTTAAAAGTCACCCTTTTAAGAAGGGTGAGGACGGAGCCTACAGTGCTGCATCAGGGATGCAAGGTCTCAGAGGACAGAAGAAAATCTTGCACCCGGGCAAAAAACAATAGATAATGTACTGGCAGGAGCCTGGAAAAGCCAGCGTGTGCAATGACTGGAGGTGCAAAGATACGACAGATAATGAAGGCACAGTCCTAGCTGCGCAGAGGAACAACAAAGTGACAGTTAAAATAACGCATACCAAAAATGCTAGAGATGGAGAATTTTGCACTTGCCTGACCCAATTTGTTATGGCAGACAGAGGATTACATGAAAGGATTAAGCTTTGCTGTCCTTAAGGTCACCTTAGGGGTCACAAGTTTGTGGCCTTGCATGATCCCTGGCTTGCAGGGGAGCAGAAACAGAGAGGCTTTTTACGGGGTGGAAAGGACTAGTTCGCTGTGTTTGAAGTCAGATTACTTCACTTCCAAAACCACAAAGCTGATAATGCAGAGAATGAGCAAGCAGTGGGCTAGTCTCAAGCAGGACTTTTTATTTCTCCCAGGGAAGGCTCTGCCAGTCCTTTCCCGAAGGGCGCTAGAGTACAACTTCCTTGGCACAGTAGCAGATGCGACTGCAACAAGGCAGGGTTGTGCCAAGCAGCATTTCTCTGCAAGGAGCGTTATCCTCTTCCCTGGAGTTCTCTCTCTTTGCTTTGGTAAAGTTTACTAGCTGCTTGTCAAGGAGCTAAGAGAGGCAAAGCTTAGAGTTCTGAAATATTTCCCTGGCTACGTTTTCCCAGGGTTGACTTGAGGCTGGAATACTAATATTGTATCTGTCTCCATCCTCAGAGTACCTGCCACTGTCTCTGTGTCTCAACAAAGCAGCACAAGGACACCTATCAAGATCTAAATGTTACTGTAGGGATTGTACTTTCTGCACAGAGCCATCTTTTAAGCATGCAGATACAGGGGCACAGCAGTAGTGACAAAGGACAACAACAGTTGGCTCCTTGTGGACTTGACTCTTTCAAGAACCGTTTCTTCTTTCCCGTGTGCTTTCCCCATATCAGCAGTTTCCCTGCATTTCTCTATCTTCCCATCCCTCTGTCCTGCTTCAAACCTTAGGTAGAAAACCTGCAAACATACCTTTTGGGGTTTTTTTGTTTTCCATTGCACCTGCTGTTCTCCAGATCCTTTGGGGATGCTGCAGAACGCACGTCCCCTGAGAAAGCTGCACCAGAAGCTACAGCTGTAGCTGTGGTGTGGCTGAGGATGAGGAAGGTGTCTTACACATATCTCCTTGATACAACACATAGAACCGAGCATGTTCATTTTCCCTTTATAGCTGTCAGGCAGGGAGATATTTACAATTAAATGTGATTTTCCCTGTCAATTAACTCATGCCAGAAGAGAGATTTTCAAATCTATCCATACTTTAAAAGTTCAGTGACCTACTTACGTATCTCAAGCCTGTTTGGAGTTCACCTTTCCTCTTGCATTTTGCTATGTCATTCTTTTGCCCTCGTTATATGCTTGATGCAGCCAGGCTCCCAGCCATGGTAAATCCCATCATAAAACTCTGCTTTATGACCCTCGCTGTGCTGGTGCTGAGATGGTCACTGTCTTTCCCCTTCCTGTGCTCCCAAAGGACGGCAGGCAGAGTTTTAATCACTGTGAATTCAGGTTGTGGTCAGATTAGGTAGAAGATAGGATGCGTGTTTGTTGTTTTGCAGTGATGTATTGTTTCTGGGATTACTGTGCTGAATAGCAGAGGGTGTCAGCTGATATTTATTACTTTAAGCTGTCTCAGCTGTTCTGGTTCAGCAAATAAACCTACATTCAAAATGAATGAGGAGCTCTGCTTGCCTTGTATGCCATGATGTGTGCAAATGTGATTATTGCTTCCGAGGCAGGGGAAGCTGAAATCATTGTGGGAGCATTTTTAGTTATTTATTTATTTTTACTCTTTGCAGGCAATCATGCAGATTTCTAAAGCACACAATCAAGCCAAAGGCTTGACACCTCTCCTCCTAGCCCTATTGTTAAGTCCTGGCATTCCTCATGCTGGGAATCGCTAGTTCCCTCTCTCTCTAAAGTGATAAGCTTTAAACCACGCTATTGATTGCTTAAGGCATTACATGTTTTACACCTAGGTTATCAGTGTTATTGAAAGGGGAAGACACAAAGCTACTGGGCCTTAAAATGAATCTACCTCTCGTCTTTTCCCATTTGCTCTGAGGATTTCAGACAATTTGTTTTACACTGATCTCTGCTGTGGAGATAAATAAATGAAACTGGAGACACCAACCCTCCCCAAGGTTAGAGTTAGAAGTGTTATTAGTGTAGGGCCTCATGTGCACCCCAGCACAAGCTGGGCTTGCGTATTCTTTATTTAACACAGCAACAAGGGCTGATTTCAGAAGTTGCTGCTCCCCTTCAGATAAGAAGTGTCACATAGCGCAGCTATCAAGGTGAATTGGTATTTTCAAGTGAGAACCTCTCTGCTTCTGATTAAGCCCTGAGGACTCCCTCTCTTCTCTCTTAACTCTTTAGCTCCCACCTTTGTGGCTGAGGGGCGACACAGAGGCATGGCGGTGGGTTGCGGCTCACCCCAGGGGCCTGCCGCGCTGTGCCTTTGGCCGCCTGTCCTTGGGGCACCTGAGGTCCTTGGCAGCCTTTTGGCACTTTGGGGACAAGGGCACAGGAAGCCAGCGACACCATGCTAAGCCCCCGACCACAGGGTCCAAAGGCTCTAGTCTTTCTTAGGGTCTAACTGTCATTGTAATGATCCGAACATGACCATTGAACATAAACCAGTGGAGTATCCCTTCCAGAACTCCAAGGTGACATTTGCCCAATTTCTAGGCACAAAGGTGCACCACTCCCCTCTCATCCACAAATCCCTACTGGCCCTCTGCCTTGAGCCTCCGTGTCGGCAGGGCTACCTCGTAGGCAGGGTGGAAGTAATGGGTTTGCTGGGACACAAATATGAGGAGATGGTGCATCTTGTGCTCCATCGTGCGTGTCTCACAACAGATAAGTGACAGGAGCAGATTAAATGTGTCTTTACCCTTCAGTAGCGTGCCCCATTCTGGGATCTCAGCAAAAAACTCACGACTCAGATAGTCACAGCACAAGTGTTGCCATCCTGCTTGCAGGGGTCAGAGATGTCATGCACGCATTTCTACAGAAATACTTGGAAGAGTGTATCAGGCTCTTAAAACATGACCCCTTCTATTCTCACTGAACGCCTGTGGGACCCCCGAGGGCCCATTTTCTGCGGGGACCCTGAGGAGCGGGGTGCAGGGTCCAGATCCGGTTATTGCAGTGGCTTTCATGGATCATGCAGCTGAGCAGAGAATTAGAGCCATATTCTTAACATGGAGCTGATGTTGTATAACAAACGGCTCCCAAAAATCCCTGTTGTCAAAGATAAGGTGACTTGCCCAAGGTTACACAAATATCTGTAGCCGAACCTGGAACTGAGCCTTCATCTGCCACTGACGTACCTTGACTGCAAAGTGATCCTTCCTCAAAGGACCTACACATAGCGACGTGATGAGATGATGATACTTTTTATGGTCAGATGAAAGGTTTAATAACCTCTGTGTGACAACATATACCGAGGAAGGAGGCATTTATTTTTTTAACCCACAGCAGTTTTGGGTGCTGAGGGCAGGTGGGGGGTAGATTGAGGATGCAGAACGTTGTGCTTGCAGAATGGCGGTTGGATGGGGTTGGGGGAATTCCTTTTGCCTTTGCTTGACTAATGTTACCTTTCTCTGTCTGAAGGACGGCATGAATTGGGTGTGCAAAAATGTCAGTGCTAAGAAGAAATAAAGCGTTCTGAGCTACATGGAAATGGAGGAGCGGTGGGAGCAGAATTCTAGCCTGAAAACACTAATTTGCTGCTTTCTGACCAAATGTTTTTCCATCTGTGCACAGCTACAGCTGTTATAAGGAAAAAAAAAAGAGAGAGAGAGAAAAAAAAGGGAACAACATCAGTTAAAACCTACTGCTGGATTTGGAACTTGACCTGCTCTTTAGTATTGTTTTTATATCCCAATAAAGGAATTATATATTTTTGTCCCTATGCATAAATAGTATTAAATGTCTGATTAGCAAGCAAGTTTGTAAGCAGAAGCAAGACTGTGATTCAGCGTGGAGCAGGAGGAGTGGCGAGTTACTGTAGTTGCTTAGATGCATAGGACTTGCCCTCTATGTGCGAGTTTGTGGTTGCTGAGGACACGCTCAGGTGTCAGTCACAGTTTCCCCTCAGTGACAGATAAAATGCGGTTGTGTTACCAATTGTGGGTAGTTTCTTAAAATAAAGCTGCTAAGGAGTCATTTGTGTAATGAGGGTAGAAGACTTCCACGTATTCCTATAGCCATAAAAGAGGAGTTTGATCATAACGAGGCACTGTTGCATTGCGACACCGCTGTAGAAGGGAGAGAAGGGTTATATGTGTATAATTGAAGCTCTTTACAGTTGGAATAATGCAGGGTGAATGTGCCTAGGGCTTTTCTCACGGCTGAAGGAGAATTTAGCCCAGCATTTCACCTTGAGCCAGCAAAAACGTGGTTCCTACATTCAGTAAGTTCCGTGTGAGAGATTAGTCTCGTTGTTGAACAATCTCTGTTGATTTTTCCCTCGATGTTAAGGCAACTCTGCAGCAAAATGCAGTTAAGTCCATAATTACTTTCTAGAATGATACCAGGTCCCAAGTTTCCTTGTCAAAATGCGCAAAATATATTCTCCTACACCCCTCCCCTTCCTTGGCAGGCCTCGCCTCACCCTTCGAGGGCCTCGGGGGGGTTGCCCAGGGCCAGGGTCCACGGGTTGTCCTGGTGAGGAGCGCGATGAACGGCAGATGGGAAGCGCTCTTTAAAATGAGGAGTCGTTCTTCCCTGAACTGGCTTTCCTCTAAAAGGCTGCAGTTGCTGAAATAGGAAAGAGAATGTTTTCCACCTCCTCGTCCCCGATTCAAATCTAGCCCCAGCTGACAGTGAGCAGGAGTCATTAGCACGCCAAAGCAGCCATGTCCTGCGTGAAACGAGCTTGGTGACTCCTGGGCCAGTTTCTAATGCACAGATGGTAAAATAATCCCACTGCCCTGCTTGCCAGCTTTGTTTGCTGCCTGCCTGCAAAAGGCCAGAGGATGACTGGGGACTGCATTACCCCTTCCACCTCTTGGAGACGGACGGGCGGGCAGCGTGGGCAAAGCTGCGTGTACTAAAGCATGTGGCTTTACCACGCGTCAGCGAGTTGACTCATGGACCCAGGCAGACGGCTGACACCCCTGGAGCTCCCAGCTCTCTGCTCCTCCCTTTCCCCCGGACGTCTCCACCTCAGGGCAGAAACATCTGCACTGTACGTGAAGCAGCCCCCGGCCGCCTACGCGCTACAGCCCGGCAGATGAAAATCATCTGGGGCTGATTCCGGACCCACCCCCACCCCCAATACATCAGGATGTACAGTA